CAGTGATTGGGTTCAAGAGCTTGGCCCAAGTAAGACATCCTGTGGGTGAGAGGAATTGGTTAAAGACAGCATAGGACTCGGATGCCAGAGGAAGTTCTATGGAGACCGCAGGGGAAATTTGCCTTGTTTTCAATAAAGAGGGATCCCTCTGTGTGTCATTGCACAAAGGTGTAAGGCCTATACTTGCGGCAGCAATGCTGCTACCAGCCCAAGACTGAAGTTCACACAAGGAGGGCAAGGGCAGAGCTGAGGGAGAAATGGAGTGGGACCTCTGAAGGCACTGAACCCCTTGTCACTGGACTGTATTGTTTAAGACATTTTTGTGTGTATGTGTGTGGGGTGGGTTGTTTCATTTTCAAAGAAGGAACTTGTAATGTGAGTGCATGAATGAAAACATAAACCAAATTGATATTGTAGCTAGCTGTATGATTATTGGTTGCTCTGGAGTATATTTTTTAAAACTTAAAGTATACCTTCTAATAGTTTTGGGAGGAGAGCAGGAAGTGGGTAGGGAATGATTTTAGAATTGTAAGGCATTAGAAAGAATGAGGAGAAAATGATTAAGTTCTGATGGAACTAGGACATGAAATTGTAAGAGCAGGAAACTAAATGAGTTAACAGGTCTGTGAAGAAACTTCTTTTAGGAAAATTAGCAAATACACCCAAACACAGAGGGATAAGAAGCGCCCCCTCTCCCGCCCAAATGTGTGTAGCACGAGCTTCAACAGTAATCGATGGGGCCATCTTGTTTCATCTATTACTGCCCCCCACCCCCCAATTAGGGAATTTAAAATAGATCACATTAAACACATTTCAGTATGTGTGTCTCTAAGATTTAAACAGCTTTAATGAGGCATGACTGAAATATAATAAATGGCACATATTTAAAGTGTACAGTTTGGTAAGTTGGCAGATGTGTCCTTGAAGCCACCACCACAATCGAGATAGTGGGCATAGCCATCCACCTCCAAGTTTTCAGGTATCTTTGTAATCCGTCTCTTCCTCGTCCCCTATGCACTTCCCCATGCAGCCACTGATGTGCTTTCTGTCAACATATACTATTTACATTTTCTTTAAATGTACTTTTGTGCAATTTGATTCAGCGTAATTATTTTGAGATTCATTCATGCTGTAGTATATAAATCAGTAGGCATTTATTTTTATTGCTGAAGATAACTATGGTATTATTACCATACCCCAAAGTAAATTTAAAATAGTCCTTATTGCCCTAGCTGGTTTGGCTCAGTGGATAGAGCATCAGCCTGCAGACTGAAGGGTCCCAGGTTCAGTTTTGGTCAAGGGCACATGCCTGGGTTGTGGGCTTGATCCCCGGTGGGGGGGACATGCAGGAGGCAACCAATCAGTGATTCTCATCATTGATGTTTCTATCTCCCTTTTCCTTCCTCTCTGAAATCAATAAAAATATATTTCAAAAAAATAGTTCCTTATTATCATATAATATCCAGTCAGTTTTTTAATTTCCCCATTGTCCCAGAAGTGTGCTTCTATAGTTGGTCTGTTTGCATGAGGACGCAAACATGTTCACATAGGGGCACTTACCTTTTTAATCCCTCTCCTTGCATCTACTCCAAATTATTAATTCATTATCTTTAGTAATGATTTCACTGTGATGGCAAGTAATTATGTAGAAATGTCACAGGAAGGGACATTTTCCCTAACCCCCTCCACCCTAACACAACTATTCATTTTTGTGTCCCTCTAGTTCTTGACCTTATGCAGAATAAGAGTTAACATTTTAAGGATGGCAAGAATTAGACAGTTGACATTCTTAATAAGTTCCCTATAAAGAATAAAGTGTGTTTCCAGGAAAATCGGTGGCGCTGCTCCTGCCAGCAGTTAGCACAGATGACAGCGGAGCGCGCCACTTCCTGTTTTTCTCTGCGGAGGCTGACTCTGGAATTCCCCTCCTTTGCCCATGATTTAAATCTTGTCTCTTGTCTTCTTAACACACCACACCGAGAAAAGTGTGCCATTCTCTAAGTGTCTCATGTGCCTGGAAAATAGTATTTGTATTTTAAAATGCTTTATGTAAAATACCTAGACTTTTGATTCATTGGGAATGTTCTAGGGAACACCTCGGCCTGTCTAGGTCCCATCCTTTCAGCCTTCTCTGTCACCTTACAATGCTGCTCACCCTTTCGTTTTCTTTACCTTCAATCTCTTCTCTTTTGCCTGATCTACCTCATCAGAAATTAAGCATAATCAAGTATTTCTCATCTTCAAGGAAAACGTTCAATCTGACCTCATTTCCTCTTCTCCCTTCAGCTCCCACCGTCCGTCAGACTTCTCTCCGATGTCTGTGTTTGATCTCTGCATCTCCCCACCTCCCAGACACTCCCTGGCCCCCTGTGCTGTCTCCGTTCCTCTTACTCCACCGACACCGCACGCACTGAGGTTGCCTTCTCCTCCCCCGTGACACTGTCCAGAAGATGCACCTGATTTTCCTCCTCACTTCAGGACGTTTCTTTTGGCTTCTGTGATGGCTTCTTTTCCTCTGCCCAGCCTTGCATGGGCGCCTCTGTGCGCAGCCTAGGCAGTCATTCACTGGCAGCTTTATTACGCTGTGACTCTCGGATCCTCACCTCCAGGTTAGCCTTTTGCAGAATTGTTTCCACATATCCACTGGCCCTCTGGGTGCCTCGCTGATCCCTGAAATCCAGTGTGTCTGAGACTGAGCCTTTCATCTTCTTAGAGCCTGGTCCTCTTCCAGGGTGACCTAACCGGCTGCACGTGCTCCTCAGATCTGAGACTGCGGCTCCCTGCCCTACCCTTCCTTCCGGTTCCAGGTCCAGCAACAGCCAAGTGCTGTCGATTTTATCCACTGAACACCTCATGGCTCTATCCACCTCTTTCATCTCTGCTATTAGTTGAATCTAATCTTTTTCACCAACATTATAACTTCTTTTGGCCCCTCCAACCTGCTGCCCACCTGTAACTGTCATGGAGCAGCCTTTTTAAAAAAGAAATATGTTTTTGCTGATTTCCGAGAGAGGAAGGAAGAGGGAGAGATAGAAACATTGACGAGAGAGCATCAATTGGCTGCCTCCTGTTAGGAATCGAGCCCAAACCTGGGCATGTGCCCTGACCAGGAATCAAACGAGGCACCTCCTGGTATATGGGATGACGCTCAGCCAACTGAGCCACACCGGCTGGGTGAGCCTTTTAAAACCAATTTGATCCTTGCCCTGCTTTAAGAGCTGTGCTCCTTCTAGCCTTTGGGAAGGAAGGACTGGAAGCTCCCACTTTACACCTTAAAGTCAGGGTGTGATTAGAGGGCATGAACAACCTTCCAACACTAAAGGAAAGGTCTCACTCTCAACTCAGTAAAGGTCAAGTTTAAAAATACTACTTCAGGTTCATAAATTAATTTCCTACCGTAATCATTATGGTGCAAGTTGAAGTCTTCTGTCCTTTGCCTTCCAGTGTGAGAGTAGTCTCTTGAATCAGTGTTTAGTCATCTGCTTTTGAACATCCTCAGTATTGAGAATGTCATTTTAATTTCTTCTTTGATCTCTTCGGTCACCCAATCATTGTTTAATAGCATGCTATTCAGCTTTCAAGTGTTTGCATTTTTTGATTGTTTTTATTGTAGTTTATTTCTAATATTGTGCCATTGTGGTCTGAGAAGATGCCTGATATGATTTCAATCTTCTTGAATTTGGAGAGACTTTGCCTGTGACCCAATAGAGAATGTTATTTTAATACTGCTCTTTCACAAGCGTGTCAGTTCACAATCATATCCACTCATTAATTCTTTCAAGAAACATTTCAGGGTGAGATGGGTGGTGGCCCGAGCGCAACAGGGTGACTGCTCTCTCAGCATCTTCCTGCAGTGATTCAACGTTTAGAAAAACCCCTGAACATGGAGATGTGGGCTAAGCTCCAGACACCCTTCCGGAGGAAATGCTGCTGCTGTGTTCACAGAGCACAGGATGGTCAGAACCCAGTGGCCTGGAGTAGGTCTTGTTCTTTGAGAAGGGCCTCGGCCTAGCCAGGTGGCCCGCGCACATCAGGAAGGCTTTGGGAAAAGTGCAGTCAGCAGACACCATCTTGGGAATCTGATCTGCAGCAACCAAAGCGAGAGGACAGTAAACGGTGCATACTGGCTTCTAAAATTAATGCGTGAACTTTCTGCTTTTGTGGTTTTGTGAAACTCACTTTCGAATCCTGAGAAGCTGTCACCTGGGTTTGTTGTGATACGTATTTAGGATCTGTCAGATCCTACCAGCATTTCAGGGGATACAGACATAAAATATGTTCAAAGGCAACCCAATCCAACAAGTTCATGTATAACTTGCCTTAGTTTTGAGGCAAACTGCAATTTCAGGAGGATACTGTTGAAAGAGATGAGTCGAGCTGGAAAACTTGGACTATTTCAACATCACTGAAAAGTTGTACTCAGAATGAGTGCAATACAGAATGTTGTACTCAGATCACAATGTATTTGCTAACAGTTGGTTAGTGATGATAATTTTATAGGTGTCTCACTTTTTAAAAAATAGAATAAAACTTAAATGTTTATTATATTAATGTGGCGATGGCCGAGCTAGACCAAATCATCTTTTTAAAGTTCTAAATAATAACCTATTTTTTTGCTTTACCAGTCATTTGAAGTAGTTGGGGTAGTCCAAGATTCAGGTATTTTTGTGTCCTGGGCAATTTTTTCTTTGTTGTTAATCCTCATCCAAGGACATTTTTTAAATTGATTTTAGAGAGAGAGGAAGGGACAGGGAGGGAGGGAGAGAGAGAAACATTGATGTGAGAAACATTGATCAGTTGCTATCTTACGCACCTCGACCAGGAATTGAACCCACGACCTTTCCAGTATAAGGTGATGCTCCAACCAACTGAGCCACACCAGCCAGGGCTCCTGGGCAAATTTATTATATTATTAAACAGAGTCATTCATCAATAGTATGTATATCCATCAGAATAAGTTATTTGGTAATAAGATCATTTTCTTTGTTCTCATATTTTAGAAAAGGCGTCGTCGGATTGACCGAAGTATGATTGGAGAACCAACAAACTTTGTACACACAGCTCATGTAGGATCAGGAGACCTGTTCAGTGGAATGAATTCAGTAAGTACATTGGTGGAATGTGCAGATGAGGCCTTGAGACACAGGTGTATGTTTTTAATGTTACACTAGATCCCTTTGTAGTCATCGAATATGAATACATAATGTCAGCAGAGAAGACAATAAAGTGACCAATAAAAAATTAATCTCACCTAATTTGCCAAGTACTTCATTCTGTTTCCAGTACTAAACTCTTTATAACTGAACACATACTTTAAAGGATTTGGCAACAAGCTAGGAAGAATCAGAAGTAAAAAATAAAAGATCTTTTGGCTATCTTTTCTAGAGATTTCAGTGAATTTCAGAATAGACTTCCGATTTAATCAGCTGAACTCTCTTATTCCTTAATTTTATCTGCGAGAAAAACAGTCCAGGATAATAGATGCGCCACCAAATGAGGGAGTTTTTAAATCAGGGTCTGCCTCACTTTTGCCCTGAGACAAGCCACTATCGAGGGCCTCTTTCCCCGGTGTCTACAGTAAACATGTCTACATGATCCTTAAGTGTTTAGACCTGGAAAGTCAGTAGGCGTTTATGAACAGAATTATGATCCGTTGTATATACTCATTCACTGGACAGCGTTAACAAAAGGCTTAACAAGAGAACAGAGTTTTAAAATAGGTAGAGGAGTATCCTGGATACAGCAAACAAGCCTGGCGGTTCAGTTACTAGGTAAGCAAAGGGGTGATTTGTATCTTCTGTGAAAGGAAACAGCTTGTCCGTTGAAGTTGGGTAGGAAAAGGGCTCTCACTCGGCTGCTTGGGCAGTGGAAGCGTCAGCTGCTGCCCACGGGTCCTCGGCGGCTTTGTTTCAGGTCACCGTGTGTGAAGATACTAAATGGGAACCTATGACTTGTTAATAGAGCGCCTGGTTTGAAGCTTATTATATGTGATGAATTTTAATTTCTTATCAACAAATGTCCTCCCCACTTCAGGTTTTAAACTCTATATAAGACAAATTAAATGTTTAGTTAGGGGTATTTATGTCTTTTAAAGTCTTGTTTATGCACAGTTCAGGATTTCCTTTAGGATTCCCATCTGCATTTTGTCTCCACGAAGAGCTTATCCCTGCCGCCCTTTCGCTCGCCCTGTCGCAGGCAGAGCTGGGGACTGTGTGCGGAGCTTCCCTGTCCGCCTCTGCAGCTGAGGCGCAGGGTCAGCGGGCCCGCAGGGAGGTTCTGCCCTGCAGTCCCTGGGCAGCCTTCTCTGCTTACTGAGGTGGAATTTTTATGAAGTATTTTAGCTCTTTAGAACTAAATAAGCCTTTTGTAGCCATTGCTTATACTAGCTTGCTGCCGTCTCTAAAGCCATAGGCCGCCCCCACTGCAACCCAGCACTCCCCTACCCCCGGCTCCGTTCTCACTGCCGTTGGGTATTGTGAAACCGTTTCCTGAATTGTCAGCAATAGTTCTAACTTGTAGAAGCCTGAGTCCATGAGAAAATTCAGTCTCCTGTGCAATAATAGTGCAAATAAGGCAAAACTACAGACATGCTGTTATCCAAGGAAATGTTTTCTCACGTTTGTCCATCCCAAAACCTGAGCTGCTGGAATTGGGGCCTAGGCTTGGTGTGCGTGGAGCAGCCACACCGGATTATTGGATGGTCAGTGACTTGTAGTTTCTTTTTTCCCCTGAACACACTGTTCTTCCAAGACTGCCTTTCATACTAACTTCTTGCTAGAAAAGGGTTCTGTGACCCTTTTTATACTGTAGCTCTGTTGTGTTAAAACACTGTATGTCCACAGTCACCCTAACTTATCCAGTCCACATCCTTCAGTTTGAAATTGAAGAATTCACTTTCGGAGGAAAAAGAACCTACATGGAATCATGTAAAAATATGAAGCTCACGTGAGCAGGTGTGCTGGCTCTTCACTGTTCGGTCATCACCTCCTTGTTGCTCCATTTTCTAGCAGTCTGGCTGGATTCTCTTATTCTTTGCTTCTAAACTGCTTCTAATTGATGTGAAATTGGAATAATAATGACACACTAAGAGTACTTCACAATGTGCAAATAACTGCCTTTTTTTCAGCAAAGAAAGAAAATATCCCAGTATTTATATATCCCAGTCTATCGGAAAGTGGCCCAATAAGTATTTAGGAGAGATGATCATGTTAACTTTTACTGGTAAGAAGCCTGATATTCTGAGAAGATACAGTTCACCAGTTACAGTAGGAATAAATAAATCTGGACTCATGTCCAAATCTTTGGATTCTTAGACCTTTTAGTTTATCAGACTTTATTAAGACTGTATCAGATATGTAAATTTTACCACATGGACTTTTACAATTTATCTTGGGTTGGTCCAATTTCTATTTTATTTTTGTTTTCGATTCTAGTATAAGTAATTGAGATAATCTTATATATGAGATGCATGTAAATTAAGATATTTAAGATGGAGGAAATGAAAGGTGATTTGTATACTTTTAAAATATGTATTTTTTTTATTGATTTCAGAGAGGAAGAGAGAGAGAAATAGAGAAACATCAGTGATGAGAGAGAATCATTGGTAGGCTGCCTTCTGCACACCCCCCTACTGGGGATTGAGCCCACAACTTGGGCATGTGCCCTGACCGGGAATGGAACCGTGACTTCCTAGTTTGAGTCGTAGGTCAACCCTCAACCACCGAGCTACACTGGCTGGGCTGATTTGTATACTTTAAAAAAATTTTTTTTATTTTAAAGAAAGAGAAAGGGAGAGGGAAAGAGGGAAGCATCAATTGTTTGCCTCCCATATGCACCCCAACCGGGGAATGAACCCAAAACATGGATTTGTGCTCAACCAACTGAGCCACACTGGCCAGGGTTGATTTGTATCCTTTTGGAATGTTACCAAGTGCCTCATGAATTACAAAAATGATTTTTTGTATTAGGGAAGTAGAGAAGGTAGGGGGAGAGGGAGTTGTAGCAAAAAAATGTTTTAGTTACTAGCCTCACTATCTGCCCCCATCCATAATCAGAAAAATGTTAAGTCTTTAAAAATTCTTTTATTCTAAAACTAGAGGCCCGGTGGGGTCCCTCGGCCTGGCCACCGTCCAGGGCGATCAGGGCCATCGTGCCCAGTCTAGATCTGGCCAGCCAGTCAGAGGGAGGGACCGAGGGAGGTTGGCTGTGGGAGTGCACTGACCACCAGGGGGCAGCTCTTGTGTTGAGCGTCTGCCCCCTGGTGGTCAGTGCACGTCATAGCTACCTGCCGGTTGTCCAGTTGTAAGGGTTTCTTAGGCTTTTATATATATAGATTTTATGTCTTTAAAAATCGATTACAGCTTTTTTACTATAAAAAAGTACCCTTCTAAAAAAAAGGTAACCAAAATGTTGAGACAAGTATCACTTAGTTGCGCCTCCTTAGTCCTGAGTGTGTCCTGTTTGTCTTGTTGTAGGTTAGCTCCATTCAGAACCAAATGCAGTCCAAGGGAGGCTACGGGGGTGGCATGTCCGCCGGGGTGCAGATGCAGCTCGTGGACACGAAGGCAGGATAGCCCGCCCTTCCCGTGAGTACTCCAGACTCAGACGTGGCCGACCCCGGCTGGCAACACAGACAGCCTTCATTAAGTCGGGGTTAAGAGATACATACAGTTGACCCTTGAACAACATGGGTTTGAACTGCACAGTTCCACTTGTACATGGATTTTTTTTTCAATAAATACTGTAAATGTATTTTCTCTAGCTAACTTTATTGTAAGAATACACTATATAATAATACATGTACAAACGGTGTCAGCCAACTTACTGGTAAGGCTTCTGGTCAATTATAACTGTAGGCTATAATAGTAGGCTATTATTAGTATTTAAGTTTTGGGGGAAGTCAAAGTTATACACAGATTTTCAACAGTGCTGGGGGATGGGTGGGGGCAGTGTCCCCATCCCTACGTTCTTCAAGGGTCAGCTGTATTTTGTTTTCCCTCTTTTTTAAAAAATTGTGAACAAAAGGCAAAAATATTTTACTTGGCTAAATGTTAACACATTGCGGACAGATCACAGGAATTCTCTCTTCATATTACACAGTGTTTTACAAAGTATACTTTAAAAAGATATTAGCTTGTGAAACATGTAAAAATAACTTCAAAATGCAATGGGTATTTCATTTTAAAGCGTGCCTTTAACATTTATGTAAAACGTTGTTTTGTACTTGTTCAATAGAAACTTATCTGGCCACTGGGTAAAGCTAGCAATAAAACTACTGGTCCGCAATGTGCTGAATGATGGTCATAGGCATTGCTGCAGTTTGGATATTAATTTTAGGTTCCTCTTTTCCTCGTGAATAACTTTAAGTGCATTAAGACATCTGGTTGGGGAGGCTTGAAGATTCTGGTGGCAAGATGAAGCTCAGGGGTCCTTTAAACAAGAGTGAAGTTATTGTTTTGAGCATTGATACTGCCCAGAATCCATGTGTAGCGTGCCTTTAACATTTATGTAAAACGTTGTTTTGTACTTGTTCAATAGAAACTTATCTGGCCACTGGGTAAAGCTAGCAATAAAACTACTGGTCCGCAATGTGCTGAATGATGGTCATAGGCATTGCTGCAGTTTGGATATTAATTTTAGGTTCCTCTTTTCCTCGTGAATAACTTTAAGTGCATTAAGACATCTGGTTGGGGAGGCTTGAAGATTCTGGTGGCAAGATGAAGCTCAGGGGTCCTTTAAACAAGAGTGAAGTTATTGTTTTGAGCATTGATACTGCCCAGAATCCATGTGTAGTGAAGTGATTTTATATTTAAAATTTATCAACTGTGCTGTTGATAAATCTTTCATTATCAACTTTTTAAAAGGGTGCATCCCAAAAGTGTAAAAATAATTTGGATGTTTCTTTTGGTTTTGTAGGTCATTGTGAATTTCTGTGTTTTCTCCTTCTACTATTCTTAAATTTTTGTGTGTGATTGCTTTTCTTTTCAATTACAAAAGGAAGTGTGATGGCGTCTTGTCCATCCTGTTGTGACCCTCCAGTGAGATGTACTGTTCCGCCGAAGAAGCTACTGTCGGACGAATCCTGCATTTCCTTCAGCTGGCCGCATGCCTTCGACTCCTGGACAGAGTTTCTTAGATTGTGGCTTAAATTTTATTTTTTATCAACATGGATCTGACCTTGGCATGATCTTTTCTGTGAATGCTAGCACTGTTTTGCATTTTTTCCCATTTTAACATTTCTCTTTCCACCTGCCTTATGATTTTATTAGTGAGTAAGGACCTGCTATTATTTGTTAACTTGTCACCATTTATGTATATTTTGGAAGGTATGAGACCCACAAGCACAATGATCATTTTTAGTCACTTGAAGCTTCAGCAGAATGGATATCTGCATGCTTGATGAAGTTGCTGCGTGTAGGAGCCCTGGGCTGGCGATACTGCTGCTACTAGAGAGGTTAGCTGTGGTGCCAAGTCACACCCGTGTCACACAAATGGTAACTTGTAGTTTATTAGAAATACGACTTTTTGGTCTATTTAGAGAGAATTATAGTACAAGGCAAGTTTGCATTTGTAAGGCCTTCATTCTGTTGTAAATGTTCACTATTTATTTGGGAGCGAGGACCTGGAGTGAGCAGAATGGCTGTGCATCGAGTGTTGTGGTGACGCCTCCATTGGGCTCTGAGCAGCAGCCGCTCATTTCTCTGCACTCACTCTGTTGGTCCTTGTTTTAATGTCATGTCTAATGTTATGGTGTCCAGTAGAGTGTGTTGAACCCCTGGCCTCTCCTAACTGCAGACTCCAGAGTCAGTGGCCTATCCACGCGCCACATGTCCGGGGCAGTGGAAGTTGCCACTGAAAACAACCTGTCTGGTGACTTTATGGAATTGGTGAGAAAACCTTTGCTTTGGTTGCAAAATATGTTTATTCTTCCACAAACTGTATTTGAGGTGAATCTGTAAATGCTTCTCCTTCCCCACAAGGGCATAGCATTTAGCCAGTTGGTGGTTTGTGTCTTTGTTAAAATGTAAATCCTGTGTCTGGTTCAGCTCTAACTACATGTGGTCAGATTAACATTTCACGCGGCGAATGGGGGGTTCATTGAAAACTTAGCCCTAAGGAATTAGGTAATTGAAAGTGATCATCTTCTCTTCTGTCTTTTTTTATCCTCTTTCCTTCCCCTTAGTCCCAACTCCTTGTGAAAAGGTAACTGAATAAATATTAGGTTTGTGAGGCAAAACATGAAAGCATTTCTCCCCGCTCTCTGGAATTCAGCTTTTGCACCACAGGGGGCGCCAGATACTCAGTCCTTGTGCTCCTGCGGCTTCCAGCCTTCACAGTGCCAGTCTCCAGCAGAGAGGATCTGTCAAGGAAAAACGTTTATGCTTAGTAACAAAAATACGTATTCTGTTTAATAACTTCTAAACTAGAATTCATCTGGTTTCACTAATTCATGGTGGACATTGCGTTCTGCAAAATGCCAGAGCCTCTGTGTCCTGCCAGCGACATGGCTGTGTGCCGCTTTTTAAGACGGACTGGATTTTCCTGACATTGCCCCACTGGTGCCATTTAGTCTACTTCTACCTGGACTTTAGAAAATTTCAGTACAATTTTTATACTTGTCATAGAACGCCTGGAACAATAGTACAGGGAGCCATGGTCCCTCTTCCCTTACTTATGATTTGCTTTGCTTTTCCAATTATTTTTTTCTGCTTCTCCAAGGACCAAAATACTCCATGTGCACTGGAGCGTGTCTGCATGGTGGGCCGCAGGCTGCACTGTGCAGGCCATGGGCATCACAGTGGCCACACTGTGTGCAAGGGCACATGCTAAGGAAGGTGCCAGTGAATCAAGAAGAAAATTACCAAAAATTCTAAGCTAGGAACCTTGAACACATCTTTTAGGAAGGCGTGGAGATATTTGAATGTGGAGGAAGCAGCGTCCCCACATTCATAGGTGGGGTGGTAAATTTTGGAGGTCTTTTGGTCCCCATAGCAACGTATCTCATTTTGAAATTGAAGCTAATTAAATAGGATAGACTGTTAGTACTTTGTTGAAATACATGCTAATAACTGTTAAGCAAGGGAAAATGAATGAAGGTTTAACTAACGACATGGATTCTGTTATCAGTGACCTGCATTCTGTAAATCAGGTGCTTTCTCGTGATCTAGGCATGAAATGGTGCCAATAAGCATAGAGTGGAAATGTTAGCTCTGGTGGTTGGATTCAGCATTTCCAATGCAGCATTATCCCTGGGCCTTTAGAAATACTGAGCGTATACTAGCTTTCATTTTGTTATTAAATTATAGCAGTTTCATTATAGAGAACAAGTTTGCCTTGATTTTGTTTAAATGACTTCTGCTCAGCACCCAAAAGATAAAATTGACATATTTTTATAATATAAGCACACTTTTTCTTGTACATTGTGTTCATTCTTGAATAAAGTGAGTTCAGTGTTGGCTTGTAGATATTAAAAAGAAAGTATTGATTCAATAAATGTTTTCTTTCAATCCTGGCTTGGATTTTCCTTTCAGTATAGTTTTTTTCTTTCAAGGAATTATTTACCAGCATTCACTTAGAGCAGCGGTCGCCAACCAGTGGTCCATGTGGTCCGGAAGGTTGGCGACCACTGACTTAGAGCACCTTTGTAGCATTCTTATATTTTCAGTTAAAACTATCCTCATACAGAAATAATTTATCATTCTCTTTAACTTCACCTTATAATTTAACAAACACCTAATCAAAATGAGCGTCAATGTTTGGAAATAGGACTTTTTAAAAAAATATATTTTTATTGATTTCAGAGAGGAAGGGAGAGGGAGAGATAGAAACATCAATGATGAGAATCATCGATCGGCTGCCTCCTGCACGCCCCCCACTGGGGATTGAGCCCGCAACCCAGGCATGTGCCCTTGACTGGAATTGAACCCAGGACCCTTCAGTCTGCAGGCCGGAGCTCTATCCACTGAGCCAAACCAGCCAGGGCTGGACTTAGGACTTTTTATTGAAATACCTCTTTTCTCCAAATTTTCATTGCCGGGGAACATCACAAATGGCTTTTAACAAAGGAGTCAAGCCCTGGCTGGTTTGGCTCAGTGGATAGAGCGTTGGTCTGCGGACTAACGGGTCCCAGGTTCAATTCCAGTCAAGGGCACATGCCCAAGTTGTGGGCTCGATCCCCAGTAGGGGCCATTCAGGAGGCAGCTGATCAATGATTCTCTCTCATCATTGATGTTTCTGTCAATAGAAAAATAAAATAAAAAAAAAAGGAGTCAAATGCCTATTCAGTTTCCCATGTTGAAGCATTTTTGTCCTCACGGTTTATGCAGGATTTAAATAAGAATTTTCTTTTTTAGCCATACTATCAGGTACCATTTTGAGCAGTTTTGTCCCCAGGGAGCGTTGGGCAGTGTCTGGAATGTTTTTGGTCGTCACAACTTGAAGGGATGCTGCTGCCTGGTGGGGGTAGAAACCAGGGAGGTTGCTCAATACCCATGGCACATAGGACAACCCCACAGCAAGGGTCTATCCAGCCCCAAATGACATTGCAGCCACAACCGAGAAACCCTGGATCTAGAGCAAAGATCTGTATGCTCACCACATACATCCTGGTTAGTTGGTCAGATACTGAGACCAGCTCAGTAGGTCTGACTGTTATGAGAATTGCCACACAATATTCTAAAATAGAAAAACTGGTGAGAAAAATATTAGAAAAAAGTATTTCAAAAAGTGGCCAAAGACTCAAAGGAAATTGGGTTAAGATGATGTTCCTTTTAAAACAGAACACCGACAATCCAGTAAGTCACCCCAATTAAGAAGGAAAGGAAGTACTGAAGAAGCCCATGTTTGTACGTCAGCTCTGTGCTGGGCACTTTCCCAAGGGCGCACATAAAATGTGGAAGGAAGGGCGCATCAGAGAAGCACAAAAAGTAGGACCAATCTATAAAAAGTGTCAGCGACATCATCTGGAATTGGCTAAAATTCGTGAAAATGCAAAAACCTACAAAAGTTACATAGACAAGAAAGAAATTCTATCCTCTCGTTTCGACAGGCTTTCAGCAGACTGCAAAGAAAACGGTTATTTTACCTCCAGTTTATTGCCTCCATCCAGAATGGTTCAGCAAGAGAACTTAGACTATTAAATGCCTCAGGTTAATCTTATTCTATTTTAGCACCTTAACTTTTAGTTTTTATAGTGTTCCCAAACTATGCAGTTTTGTTTTTTAAGTGCTTTCTACCAGACACATGGAACCTCTGGGCTCCTTTTGATCTCTACCCATATCCTCTTAATCTCTTCATCTTAAAATTTTTCTATCTGGCCCGACTTTGATGCCTAGAAGGAAAAAAACAGGTGCACTAGAAAAAAGTTACTTCCTGAATAAGAAGATCCAGATATTTGGCTGGGACCTCACAGCAGGTGCTGAGGGCGGGACCTGGGAGCTGAAAGGCAGGATAATGTCCCTCATTGGATGCCGGGGTCGTTCTCAGCATCTAGAAGGGTTCAGGAATCTGGAGAAGGGGCTGCGAGTAAGTTAATAAACTAAGACATGAAATACAAATTTGGAAGGCATTTTTTGGGGGAGCCAGGGAGGCTTAGTAACTAAGTTCTCTGAGTCTCTGGACCCCTAGCTTTTAACACATTTTGCCCTATAGCAAAGCAGATATACATATCAAAGGTAAAGTTTGGTAAACAGTAAGATTATCAGGTTGGGGGAACTGCCCTCAGCTGTCTGGCAGCAGGCAATAATATATGCAGATTTTCAGGTTTGGGGAAATGCTTTCAGGTATTCCAGCAGCAGGTAATATGATTCAGCCCTGCTGAAGCCTCAAGTTCCATCAACCTTTTGATGAACTTCTTGCATTTATTATGACAAGCTGGAATTAGCCTCCAGCAGTTGGAAGGTAAGGGCAGGACAGTCAAGAGAACGTCTGATTCTAACCCCCCATTTTCCCTTGTAAATCTGAGCTCCTGAGTCCACCAGAGCTTTTGCAGTTCACGGATCTCGTGTGTTCAGTGGCCTTGGACAGGTGAATGCACGGACAGCTGGCCTTGGGGCCCCGAAGGGATTCCCAGGCACCGGGTTTTATTTATTTTTTTAATATATTTTATTGATTTTTTTTACAGAGAGGAAGGGAGAGGGATAGAGAGTCAGAAACATCATTGAGAGAGAAACATAGATCAGCTGCCTCCTGCACACCTCCTACTGGGGATGTTCCGGCAACCAAGGTACATGCCCTTGACCGGAATCGAACCTGGGACCCTTCAGTCCACAGGCCGACGCTCTATCCACTGAGCCAAACGGGCTAGGGCCAAAATAGCATTTTAAACAATATTCGGTGACATCAGCAAGACAGCTAACTAGGCCCTTGTTTCCCCCACAGAAACACCCAATAAACAACAATATGTGGACCGATAAAGCTCTGTCAGAAATCTAGAAACCAGTTAAGCTGCAAGAACCAAGCCATGCATAAACATAAAAAGCCACCCTGAGGTGGCTGGTGGACTGAGGTGGCTGGTGGAGTGGTTTGCCTGGCCCGGTCAGGGATGGGGCTGCTGGGAACACGCTGGTGCAGCCACATGTTAAGAGTTGCAGGTCGATGCCGGTAAGAGAGTACACAGGCAGAGGGATACAACAGATGCAAGGCTTCTGAGCACAAGCAGAAATGAGACGCTTACATATAAATAAAGGCATTTAGAAGCAGCTGAGTTTACGGGAACTGGGTGGAAGCCACATGCAGTCCCAGGGGCCATGCACTCCTAGAAAGGGCTGAGAGGACCATGAGCCTTTAAGTTGGGCTGATTGGTGAAGGTCTCCCCTTGCGGCGTGAAGCCAGCCACTCAGTAAAGATGGAGAGGGGACTTGTTTCAAATACATAAATCTCAACAAAAAACTGTCTCAAATATGCTCAGTGAGCTAAATGAGAAACGGACAGACTAAACAACATCAACAAAAATTTTCAAAAAATGAGTATATCAACAGGGATAGAAATTATAAAACAAGATACTGGAAGTCCCAGCCAGAGCAGTTAGTCAAGAAAAAGAAGGAAAAGGCATCCAAAATGAAAAAAGTAAAATTATCTCTGTTCACAGATGATAATGTGAAAGCCTTAGAGACTTAACTCACCCACACACAGAGCTAACAAATGAATTCAGCAAAGCTGCAAGGTACCAAATCAACACACAAAAATCAGTTGTTTCTATCCACTAACAACAATCTGAAAAAAAACTTAACAATTCCATTTACAATTGCATCTAAATACAATACTTAGGAATAAATTTAAGGAGGCAAAAGACTGGTCCAACTGAAAACTACAAAATATTAGTGAAAGAAATTAAAGATACAAATAAATGGAAAGACATCGTGTATTCACATCCCAAGACCTAATGTTAAGGTGTCAGGACCATCCAAGGTGATCCACAGATTTAATTCAATCTCTATCCAAATCCCAATGGCATTTTTCCCAGTCATATCAAGGGACCCTGAAGAGCCAAAATAATCTTGAAAGACAAAGTTGGAGGTACCATACTTGATTTCAAAACTTATTATAAATCTACAGTAATTAAAACAGTTGTGATACTGGCATAAAGACAGGCGTAGAGACCAATGGAATAGAATGGAGAACCCAGACATAAACTCTGTGGTGAAATGATGTTCGACAAGGATGCCAAGGCCACTCAATGGGGTAAGGCCAGTCTTTTCATCAAACGGCGCTGGGAACATTAGACATCCATATGAAAAGTATAAAGATAGGTCGTGTCTTAGCCTGTGTAGGCTGCTATAACAAAATAGCACAGACTGGGTAGCTTACAAATAGCAACTTACTTCTCAGTTCTGGAGGCTGGGAAGTCCAAGGACAAGGTGCCAGCATGGTTGCTCCTGGCAAGAGCCTCTTCCTGCCCATAAGCTGTGCCCTCGCGTGGAGGAGGCAAGGCGTCCCTGAAGCTCTTTTATTGGAGCAGCAGTTCCCCCATGAGGGCTCTGTCCTCACAGACTAAAGCCACCACTTAGGGCTGATTTCCACATACCGGTTTTGGGAGGGGACACAAACACTGAGACCATAGCAGACCTTTATCTCACAACGTATACAAACATGAACATGAACCAGATGTAAACATAAGACCTAAGAGTATAAAACTCTTAGAAGAAAACACTGGGGAAAAGCGTCATGCCAATGGATTTGGCAATGACTTTTTAGACGTGTCATCAAAAGCACTAGCAACAAAAAGTAAAAATAGAGAATGGACTACATCAGAATGAAAACCTGCATCAAAGAACAACAGCCTGTACAGGCAACCTGGAGAACGGGAGAATATGTTTGTAAATTATATAGCTGATAAGGGGTTATATCTAGTATAAAGAGTTCCTACAGCCCAGCCAGTGTGGCTCAGCGGATTGAGGGTCATCCCATGCACCAGGAGGTGGCTGGGCAATTCCCATTTAGGGCACATGCCAGGTTGTGGGCTCGATTCCCAGTAGGGGACATGCAGGAGGCAGCTGATTGATATTTCTCCCT